GGTGTATTGCAATAAATGTCAGTTTCTTATGTAAATATGATTCAAACAATCAAAAACTTTCAAAGAATAAAACACCGTAAACCCTATATGCACGTATGATATGATATTGAACAAGGCTAAATGTAGATACTGAAGTTAGTTTCATGAAAAAGTATCCGAACTATCCACAAAATATACATCATAATACTGACAGTGTAATCGGAAGGATATGGCGATTGTGTTTACTCTGGTTCAACCGACCTTCACCTCAAAGAAATTGACTAATATGTAGAACAATGTTGACGTATGACATCACTACCGCTGACCAATTTCTTACAAGATGGCGGCTTTGCTGACAAGGGTACACAGGATTTTGCGAGGACCCTTCCATTGATTCAGGGATCGTTTGTACATAAATATGAGATGTAAGTAATCAGAATGATTCTGACTATCTGTGTATTGTTATATGTTTTTATCGTTTTCACTATAAGTAAAAGAAAAGGACAGAAATGCAGATAATTACCGTTGTCGTTCTGCGTGATTTGGCGTCAGTCATGGCGTCACGCTGCACGGAAACTTTGACAATTTCTTATGAATTATCAAATCATTGCATTGTATCTATTTATAATTTCCTATTTCTTGCTACGATACTCTTTCCATGTATATTCCAAAGGTATTGAGCCATTGCAAGCAATGAATAGACAGATGAATGTTGAAAAATTTCAGAAAATGCTACGCAGTGTAAAATCGGAATTTGTCTTTGTTTACATTTCAGACAAACGCAGTCTTTCAAGCACAGCGTTCGTTTTCACACCCAATATGTTTCGTCTCATTTTATCTAAACAGTTATTATTGGTGACACAGACCCCTTTTCAAATTGATTCTGAAACGTATGGGGAATTCAGTGATGCAGTTTTCGAAGCTGAATATGAAACATACGTGATGTAATAGGCGTCTCAATACCGGCCTTCGCGAAACGTGATTTTGTAAACACTATCCAATATGGCGAAAAGCGCTCTACGGTGTTGGTGTTAGTGCATTTTCGAAAACATCCCAACCGATTCTAGATTCATCGGCAACGTTTCAGAATCATAATTAGCGATTTCATGTAAAACTGATATCAGTGATCATAAATTTGTTATTTTTGAAATTCAATACTCACAGTAATTATCCGATTTTCACATTTCAAAACATACAGCAAATAACGCTGTGAATCGCGATTTCATACTGTGTCAAAAATGTCGCCATTTTCGATGAAGCCTATTTTGAAAGGTCATTTTTCAGCACTTGAGCTTTGTCTAAAATAATAGTGGATGGTATCAAGAAACAGGAAATGTCCCGCAGAATTCGAAATATTTTGATTTTTATTCGACTTCAAATTGAGGGTTGAAGGGGAAGGACATTTATTACCCACGTGGTCAACGTATGGGTAGTTGCATACTAATCTCGTACGTCACACGAGTGTCGTATCGCGTTGACCTGTGTCGTAACGACTTGACCTGAGATTCTAACGATTTGATTGGATAACCGATGACCTCTCAATTAGGTCACATTCTGACGTAACTATTTTTTCATTCATAACAAACACGTGAATCCATTCATTCTACAACTTAAATGCAGTGTGGGAATGTGAACATCGCGAACGTTGCCGTGTCGCTGTTTAATTGTGAGTCGAACTGAGACATTATACCCGTCGAAAAACGTAAACGCAATGTTTCCACAAGTGATGTTAGCCGAATGAAGCAACTGGAAACCAAGAAACGGGGTGCTACGGAGTAGTTTACTGAAGGAGGCTGTACGAGGCGATGACAACTGACATGCACCGTGACGTCGGTTACCAAGGCATTGACGTCATGCAAATATTGTACTACAGTACAAAACTCTTCCGCAACCTCTTTATGAAACCGGTTTCGGTTTGAAACCAAAATATTAACAAAAATACGCTATTTTGCCAATTTAATGCATGTAAGACGTGGGTAATAAATAAAATACCACACTCGGTCTCATTACATGCGAATTATACGAAACTCGTGACCTTCCTATGTTATCTGACCTCACTTTCGCTCGGTCAGATACCATAGGAAGGACACTCGTTTCGTATAATTCGTATGTAATGAGACCTCGTGTGGTATTCTCTATATATGTCCCTGTGGCATCCAGGGGGTTGAGGGCGGTGGGGTAGCCTAGTGGTTAAAGCGTTGGCTCGTCACGCCGAAGGCCCGGGTTTGATTCCCCACATGGGCACAATGTGTTAAGCCCATTTCTGGTGTCCCCCGCAGTGATATTGCTGGAATATTGCTAAAAGCGCCGTAAAACTAAACTCAGTCAGTCAGTCCAGGGGGTTGAAGAACGTAAGTTATAACGTAATGTATTAACCACGTGGTCAACGTATGGGTTTTTGCATACTAATCTCGTACGTGTCGTATCGCGTTGACCTGTGTCGTAATGACTTGACCTGAGATTCTAACGATTTGATTGGATAACCGATGACCTCTCAATTAGGTCACATTCTGGCGTAACTATTTTTTCATTCATAACAAACACGTGAATTCATTCAATCTACAACTTAAATGCATTGTGGGAATGTAAACATTGCAAAAAACATAAACGCAATGTTTCCACAAGTGATGTTAGCCGAATGAAGCAACTGGAAACCAAGAATCGAGGTGCTACGGAGTAGTTTACCGTAGGACGCTGTACGAGGCGATGACAACTGACATGCATCGTGACGTCGGTTACCAAGGTAGTGACGTCATTACAGTGTGACGTCATGCAATTATTGTTCTACAGTACAAAACTCTTCCGCAACCTCTTTATGAAACCGGTTTCGGTTTGAAACCAAAAACATAACAAAAATACGCTATTTTGTCAAATTAATGCATGTCAGACGTGGGTAATAAATAAAATACCACACTCGGTCTCATTACATACGAATTATACGAAACGACTGTCCTTCCTATGTTATCTGACAGAGCATATACGAAACTCGTGACCTTCCTATGATATCTGATATTTCGCCTCGGTCAGATACCATAGGAAGGACACTCGTTTCGTATAATTCGTATGTAATGAGACAGAGTGTAATATTCTCTATATACGTCACGCCGTAGAACTGTAAGATGGTTAAGACGTTTAACAGCTTAAGCCAAAATGTATTCATTCACATTTGCGTATTTCTTTATTTGCAGAGTGTATGTAGGCCATCGGCCCATAATGCAAATACAAATATTGTATATTTGCAGCCATATTTGATTGGTGGTGCTTTGCAGCATAATAAATAAACATTGCTACATTTCTGACGACAAAAGTATTGTTTGGGGTCATCAATATATTGCAATTTGACAAAGAGTGTATGTATAAAACTTGGCAGAAATATATTTAGTGCGCAAAGATTTGTATGCAGTACACACTAAAAGGAAATGATACTCGTTTTCTTTATATCCATTATCACACATGTAACATAACCTGTGATATCTAGGCTAGATGTGTATCTACCTGTCTCAATATTTAACTGATGGGAACCACAACGAAGCTGTGCATGAGAAATGTGAAATTTACTAATGTTAATAACACTAAGATATGGTTCCATAGAAAGATTACACAGAGAATATGAAAAAGTGTTAGAACTTGATAACGAGTTATGCCATTTTTGATGTGATATATGTTGAGTCCTGATCATAAATATAGACAGGAAGGAATTTAAGCTACTGATATACTGTCTTTCCCACACATATCCAAATCCCATATTGTAAAGTAATAGCTTAAGTTATGATACCCAATTTGTTTTACCATGGCTAGCATCTAACAATAATAAGTTAAGCACTGGGCAGACGAGATACTGGCATATTCAGCAGTTTATACTAGTGGTGGTCAGATTAATTGAAATAATCAAAGATTGGTCGCAATCACTTAACGACCAAGCAATCAATCATGTTTTCGTATAATTTAACACAAACAATTCTGGAACACTAGTTTGCTTTAACAATAATTTTCACAAGGTTGGTTTTGTCCGTTACATTTCATTAGCACTGCAAGTGAGTGAGTGAGTCTTGATTGAATTTTTCCCAAACCACAGGAAATTTATGTTCCTAACATACTCGTCATCCTTTTAAGATGTGAAATTTGCAAATGCATTTGTGCAATTTGCAAAGAAAAACCCCAAAGAACTAAATCTTTTTTTAGATATTTTGTGCATTAACTAACACAGCAAGGAAGATTTGATAAATGACGCTAACGAATTATTTTCGATGATTGATCGGTTGTCATGAACCAATCATCAATTGTGATATTTAAACCAATTCCCAACACTAGATTATACAAATATTTAATACAACGTTTGTAAGCATAAACATAAACAGGATATCTGCCACACTCATCTCGAACGATGTCATTTGGGGTAGACGTTTTGACACCAAGTAAATATTTACAGGCCAAAGTTTGAACTTTCTCGATTAAACTAGTATCACAATCCAGCCCCCAGACTTCAACCCCATAGAGTAGAATCGGTAAAGCTTTTGAGTAAAAAATCCTGAAAAAGATGTCACCGAGAATAGGTTTAACTTCGAGGGCCTTTTTAGATTGTAGCATGGAATTATCAAACATTTTATTATGCCACGACAAGCTTTGAGAAAAGAGAACACCCAAATACTTATACCGTGGGACACAATCTATTCCCATAACACTCACAAACCACTCTGCATATTTAGAAAGCCTACCTCCATTTCTAATGACAAAGATTTTGAGTTTATCTAGATTAACGGAAAGGTCATACTCAACGCAATACTTTTCCAAAACATTAACACGCTTTTGTAGGCAATAGATAGTATCGGAGAGGAGGACTACGTCGTCAGCGAACAGCAGGAGAAATACTTGAGTTAGTTCTGGATGCATCTGTGTACCAGGATAACAAGAAGACTCAGTTTCAATAGCCAAATCATCTATAAAAATAGAAAATAGAAAGGGGCTAAAAAAACACCCCTGACGCACTCCGATATTACACTGGAACATTTTGGAAAACATGTTATTTGGTTTCACGCAAGATTTGACACAATCATAGATGGATCAGACACAGTTCCACATTTTAGGAGACACGCCCTTCTCATTTAATACAGACCATAATTTTGCCCTATTCACCAAATCAAACGCTTTTGAAAACTCTACCAAAAAGCATATAATTTCGCTTTTTTAGATAGAATCCTCTTAATAATAGTTTCCAGAATGAAAATGTTACCTATAGTCGAGTAACCAACTCTGAACCCTGCCTGCGACTCTGACATCTTGCAATAAGCATCAGTCCAAAACCTGAGCCTATTATTAATAACTGACACATATAGTTAACTAGAGAAAATGAGAACTGTAACCCTCTGTAATTGGGTGAGTGAGTGAGGTTAGTTTTACACCGCACTCAGCGATATTCCAGCTATATGGCGGCGGTTGTGCAAATAATCGAGTCTGAACCAGACAATCCTGTGATCAACAACATGCATCGACCTACGCAACTGGTACGATGACGTGTGTGTCAACCACGTCAGCGATGTTGATGTACATAGTTTGTATGACATGCTGTATTGAAACAGATGATGTACACAAGAAATATAATTATGAATTACAGATGATGTGTAATCATCTGTTTCTATACATTTCATAAAAGCAATGTGCATCAACCCCATCCATTATATAAACATTAACCTGGCTTCCTATCATTTGTATAAGCTTTCATTCTAACCTGGTATGTCACCTAACTGGCTTCCAATCACTTGCGCAATCTCCTATACAAGCGTTGTACATCAACCTCATTTATTGTACAAACAACTCATCCCCAATCTGGCACCCGTGAAGAGCCACCTCCTCGTGGTGGGTGCTGGGTAACGCTAAGCGCTCTTCAACCCCCGTGTGGACCCGGGGGTATATTTGGTCCACCAACCCGTTTGCCGTGGGTTGCGCCCCTCTGTCGGTGGAGGACGGGAGTCTGGTGGTTGAGGGCACTGAGGGCCTGGAACCGTGTTCCTTTTGCCCAACACACCACTTCGCCCCTTACTTCACCTAGAACTGGCCCGGTTCTATCAATCGGCTGGTCACGCCATGCTCTGTGCATAGTGAATAATTTTGCACATTTAATTCTAGTGGGGTCTTGGCCATTTTGATTTTCTATTTATAAATTATTGATCTATTTATAAATTATTGATCTATTTAATTGCCTAGAGTCCTATGCCAGAAGGCGGTGGCTCATGGGCAAATCTGGCATTATTGACCTCCGGGTTCTCTTTGTCTTCACGTAAATGTCTAGGGCGGAACCAGCCTTACTTTTGTTCTGTTTGACTATTGTAGCTACCTGTGTCTCTTTTGCTGGTGGATAGCATCCCTGTAACTCTAGTGTTTGTAGTCGGCTTCCACTTCAGCACTGTCCTTGTTGACACTCCATGGTGGGTGGGGCGCGGGGATGTTTAACGATTTTTCTTATCATGGCAAACGTACTCAACACTGGTTCTAGGTAAAAAAATAAAAGAAGACATTTAGATACAGATACCATTTCTCCTTCTGAAAGTATCTCTCAAAGTAACATCGACTCATGGCCACGGTTTCTGGTCGTTAAATGGCGTTGATGGAGCACCTCTCAAGATTAACCCTTTTGTTGTGTCCAAGGTTGTTGAAGGGATTTGTGGAAATGTCAAGAATGTAACGCGTCTCAGAAATGGATCCCTGCTTATCGAATGTTCACGGCGTCAACAGTCAATTAATCTTCTCAAAGCAGATCATTTTGGAACTACTGAAATCGCTGTCTCTGTGCACAAATATTTAAATTCGAAGAGGGGGTGTCATCCGAGATCGTGCAAGGTGTCTTTCTGGCATGTCCGAGGATGAGATAGTATCAGAACTCAAATCTCAAGGAGTCACTTCTGTAAAAAGATTCACCAGAAAAGATCAGGATAGAGTTATAACAACGACCACTTATCTTCTTACGTTTGCACTTCCCAAAGTACCATCATCAATCATGGCTGGTTATCAACATCGGAGTGGATGTATATATACCAAATCCACTCCGATGTTATAATTGTCAGAAGTTTGGGCATGGGGCCAGGTCGTGTAATACGTCCCCAACTTGCTCCCGTTGCGGTAAAGATCATGACGGTGCTACCTGCACAGATGACATTAGGTGTGCTAACTGCAACGGTGAGCACTTCTCTTCATCAAAATCTTGTCCATTCTACCAGAAACAATCACAAATACTCAAACCCGAGTATCCAATAATATTTCCTTTTCTGAAGCAGTTACATTACTGACTCCGCAAACTCTTACTAGGGCAGGACACAAACCTGATATTCCTTCAAAAACCATTTGTTTTTGATATCTGAGAGAGGTATACACAATCTATACATGAAATGAAAGCTTGTGATCTGAGCATTAAGAAAAAAAATGATGTGGTGAAATTTATGTGGACATTTTCTTATGAAAACGTTTTTATGTCACACCAATAAAGTCTGTAGAGAAACTCTGCCGTAAAATGAGTCATCAAGAAAACAGTACTACCAGTACTTCCTGCAGTCTGCTGAGACCACTTCCTGTCCTAGCAGTGTTGACATTTGGAACTTGAAAGCTTGTTAAATCTTTTTCCAAAGATTTTCATTCGAAGCATTGACAAGTCTTCAGATTTCTTCAATATCATTATTGAGGTAAGTTGTTTTCTAATTGTGTACATTTCCACAGAACCTTATGTTTCAATGATAGAAATTACAGAAGATTACCAGTGGGTTAGTTATGCACTAATCTTGTTTGATGATAAAATTTTGAAATGCATTTCAAATAGGTAATTTGTTATTTTACCTGATATTCTAAGGTATTTTCATGGCATTTTGCATGTTTAAAGTCAACTGTTTCATTGACAGATTTCAAGATAACTAACTCTAAAGTTTTAACTGATGAAACTCCTTGAGAGGCCATTTTAAGGAGGAAAATATTCGTCAAATCCTATTCTGAGAATCTTATGCTTTATCTTTCTATTATTGGTCCAATTATATTTCAGATATTATAAAATTATGATTTTATTAGGCTTTTGATGATTCTTTTCAAAGAAGTTTTGAAAAAATGTACAGATAACATTCTGAAACCCTGAGAGGGCCACCCTGTATAAAATGCCTTGTCAGTGTAAGCAATATTTCCCTACAACTTAATATTACCCGATTGTGACCCTCAACTAAAAAAACACACCAATTATAGCAATAAATATGTTTTGAAGTGATTTTTAAAGAAGATATGTTGATTATAAAAATGTAGAAATGAAATAATTTCTTTCTTAACGTATATAATTTCCCCAAACATAATTTTGTTATATATGTAATTTTTTTTCCACCAAAATATAAACACTACCTTATAATTTGACAGGACAGTTTCTTCAAAAAATATTTATTAGATTGAATTATATTTATAAACATTGATATAATTCAATATGTGCATGCTGTCCAACATTATTTTCACTAAAATACCTTTTAATTTATATTTGAATGTTTTTGGTAAAATATAACAAGAAAATTGATTGCAAAGGTTTTCTTCAAAACTGCGCATTAGATTTCTTTATTTGTTAAACTTTTACCTTTAATAGTTTCACATACATTCTTTTATTTATTATCTTGATGTTTTAAAATACAATGTACATATTTTTTAAAAAATTGCTATCATTTTCATGTAGCATCATAATGAAAGCTTGTATTTTTTAAAAAGACATTTCCCTTTTTGAAATAGTTTTTCTCTTGTTTTTATTGATACATTACGAATGTAAACAAATTTAATGATTAAACTTAAACTTATACAGATACATAAGTGCCCAATTCTGTCAAGATAGGTCAAGTCCAAAATTGAACACTTCAACGTACCTTTTAGGTATGTATGTATTTCACAGTAGTTTCGCATACAGTCACATATATTCAGGGATGAGATCCTAACTTTTCTTTATAATGAATATTAAACATAACAAAAAGCTCTTATTTTGTTGTGTCAAAATGAAATTTTGTGTTTAAGAAGGGCATTTCTTTTCATGAAATGTTTTCCTCCCTGAAACAATGATATATTTTAAATCTTTGAAGATTTCAAGTTTAAATTTTTTTCATTCAGGTATATTTCTGAAAAACTTAAGCAATGGAGCCAAAGCCAGTGCAGTTTGGACAAGTCCAAAAAAGATCACTCTCTCATGAGCCTTTTAGATATATATATATCTATATATAGTATCACAGAAGTTACACCTACATTGACTTATTTATTGATAAAATTCTAACTTTATTTGTAAGACATATTTACTTTAAATGTTGCTCTTAACCCAAATCATAATGACCTTTCATGTTTAAGAAAGGAATTCTCTTTATGAGTGAGTTTAGTTTTGCTCCGCTTTTAGCAACATTTCAGCACTATCACGGCGGGGGACACCTGAAATGGACTTCACACATTGTACCCATGTGGGGAATCAAACCAATGTCTTCAGCGTGATGAGCGAACGTCTTAACCACTGTACTACCCCACCACCCACTCTCTTTATGAAATATGTTCTACTGTTAATAAATGTAAGAAGATTTGATTATGAAACTTTCCTTATTTCAGGTTAACTTCAAAGAGAAATGGACTTAAAGGACCAAGTCCAAAGAGTAAACATTCATCTGCCGAGTACTGCATCATAATTAGTGCTCGAACAAATTTATCACCTGGAGAATTACAATCACTGCCCAATTGAGCCAAGACGATGTTTTTACCAGACTTGTGCAGTTGTTTGGAAATGATCTTTGTGGTCAGGATTTGCTTTATCATAGATGTTTCTTAGTGAAGATGGGACTGTTCGACTTGTGCATTTGCGCGCAGAAATGGTCTTTAGAAGACCATTATGTCTGACAGATTGTCGTGATGATGTCACAATGGCCAAGATTCTCGCACATCCCATAGGATCAGTTCCTACATTACTTTTCAATGAAGATGGATCAAGGAGGAAGACATCCAATGCCGATTTGACAGACAAATTAGAAGAAATTGTACAGAATGTTGACACTTTACGAGACTTTGACAAAAAGACACTGTCCACATTCGCCATACAATGGCAATATTGATAAGTATGAAACCTGCCATTCCCTCCGCGTTGGATAGTGTTGCTGACAGTTATATGCAAAATATGAAGCAGTGTTTCACCAGGGCTGATACTGTCATAGATATGTTCGACCAGTATGACAATCGCAGCTCCACTAAGTCTGCAGAACGTTCACGAAGGGCTGACCTCAACACCGGCAAGAAGCATCAAGTGTCATCAGGCAGACAGATTCCACAGAGGAACAAGTTTCTTGGTGTATCTGAGAACATGTCACAGTTAACAACGTTTTGTGTACCAAAGTCCAAGTTGCTACAGTGTCAACAGAACCACAAGGAGGATTGTATCTCTCAGGAAGATATGAAGATGGAATGGTGACCAAATTGATCCCCCCCCCCCCCACCCGTGATGCTTGCATTGATAAACTTGAAAGTTCTCAAGAAGAGGTTGATACATGCATGCTCTTCCACGCCATGTACTGCAATGGTGAGTTTGAAGAGAGGCATACCCAAGGAAGTATCATCATCAAGTCCCCTGATACAGATGTTCTCATACTATATATCTGCTATTGTCCACAAATGGAGCATGTCCGTGAAAACTGGAGTGTCTTCTGAAGTCAAGGACAAGCACCGGTTCAATCATGTCCATAACATCTGCCATCTTCTTGGATCATCAATGTCATTGCTTTGCCAGGAATCCATGCCTTTACTGGCTGAGATACATCATCAGCATTATTTTCATGTTGGCAAGAAGACAAAGATGAAAGACAAAGATCTGTTTTCAAGTCATCAAGTCTTATCTTCAGGAAACCTTGATGCAGCAGTGGAGGTCTGCAGGCAATCTAACGTCAGCCTTGTATGACCCCAGGAAGAAGGTTAAACCACGTCACTCTTTGAATGACATGAGATTTCAACAGACATTGAGCTTGCCAAACTTCCCTCATGCGAAGACAGCTTTCGACAGCACGTTAAGCGTGTGATGCCGCAAACTAGCATCTGGACAAGTTCTCATTGTGGTAAACCAGAGTTTGGTAACCTTGAAGATTTTGCCTGGACTAGGGTGAATGGATTGCTCAACCCCACATTGTCTGAACATCAAACTGCTTCGGAAGTTCTTGACTGCCTTGTTTGCACTCTGCTGCAAGTCCCCATGCTCCTCGGTATGGTGCATTTCTAGACAGAGCAATCTGTATTGAACTGTGTCCTTGCAAGCGTGGACAGAATTGCACTAACACCATGAATGATCTTGGTGAAGATAACCAGTGACAATGAAGAAGAATGACCTGTGTAATAATCATATTCCTTTTCCAAGTTGTTAGTTATTACAATAACCTTTAACACAAGACATACTATTGCTTTACAAAAAGAACAGCAAGTGAATCTAGTTTGAAGGATTGTTGGTTCCTAACACATTACACTTATATTTCAGTATCTTTAACAATGTTCTATTTTAGAGATATTAATGTATCTTTACCTGTAATGATGATAGTAATGAGTGATTAAAAGGTAATTTTGAAATTATACCAATTACATTTATTATTCTTCTACTGTATCATACCTGACAAAAAGGAGGACCGAAAATTACATTTTTTACCCAAATTTTCAATCATGCAATGAATTTTATGTCTAAATATTGCAATCACTATTATTTTTCTATTGTACAGAGGGCAACCTTTCATTTGATGGTGAATTTGTTTGAATGGGGTAGATATTTGGAAAATTATGATTTTTAGTGTTTTTGACCCAAAATCCGGTTTTACCAGAAAGTGTCCACGCGAATATTTCCACATCATGTCTAATATTATTCTATAGGTCTTCAGCTTTAATTTGATATATAGATCATGTATACCTCTCAATTTGATCAAATCACCCCCCAAAAATGGGTTTGTTTCCTGCCCTATACTACTCTATCTACAATCTCGTACCTTTATCTTCAAAGTGCGCTGTTGACAGAGCATGTCAGACTGACATCTGCTGGGTCACGGACAAACAATCACTGTCTTCAATTGCTAAACACGGCAATAAATCTTCAACGTTTGCGTCACAGACAGATTCATATTGAACGTCAGACTGCACCTGAACCAGTGCATGAATCTGAAACTGAGACAGCAAAGTTATCACAAAAAACTGTAAAACTGACAAGCAAAGAAAGGAAACAATTAAAGTCAAGGACCCTCAAACATGTAGAGGTACCTTCCCGATTAACATCCCCTGTGGTGGTTCATAACAACTTTGAACCTTTAGACATGGAAGTCAATTCATCTCCACTAACTCAACGGAGAGGATCTTCCTCAGGATCACGATCTCCAGTTCAGCCTCCATGAGCTGTTCTTTCAATATTCTTCAGTGGAACTGTAGAGGCCATAGAAACAATTTCAATGATTTGCAACTTTTAATTCAAGACTTCAAGCAATCAGCATCATGTTTGCAAGAAACCTATCTAAAGCCACGGATAAATTTGATATTAGACAATATGATTCCTACAACAGTTTCTCACCTCCAGGTGATATAGCTACTGGAGGATCTTCTATTTTAGTGAATCGTGGAACTATCCACAGTCTTGTTCCTCTCAATAGCCCTCTTCATGCAGTTGCGGTCCGTGTTGCTCTGCATATTGTTGTTACCGTGTGTTCATTGTATATCCCGCCATCATCGTCTCTGCAGCAATCTGATCTTCAGCTGCTCTATGACCAACTCCCAAAACCATGTCTTGTCATGGGAGACTTAAATGGTCATATCCATTACACTTTGGGGTAGTAATAACACCGATGCAAAAGGAAAGATTCTTGAGGATTTCTTCACAAATACTGATTTATGTATTTTCAATGATAATTCTAAGTAAACACATATCTTCATCCTGCAGCTGGCTCATACTCCTCTCTAGATTTATCCGTTGCGGATTCCAGCTTATACAATGAATTTGAATGGTCAGTCCACGATGATCTTTGTGGAAGTGACCATTTTCCCACTATACTTTCAGCCATAAACCCCAGTGATGCTGTACCATCGTCTAGGTAGAACTTTAACAAGGCAGTTGGTCTTTATTCGAGACCTTACACACAAACAGATTAAAACCCGAATTCTTTCTAAATGTGTCTGATCCTATTCAGATGTTTCTGATGAATGAAATTTGATTGCTGATGATTGTATTCCCAAGTCCTCTATGATTCCACACATTCGTAAGCCATGGCTTACTATTGACTGCAAACAAGCTAGAAGAGCTAGGAAAAAGGCAGAAAATATTTCCGTCGGCACCCAACAGGCCATAACTTAAACCAATTCAAAATTTCCAACGCTCGTCGTACATCTAAACAAAACAAACGACAGTCATTGCGAAATTATGTTTCTAAAACTAACTCACAAACACCTATTTCTAAGGTATGGAATATGGTGAAAAAGATAAAAGGTAAAGGTTCCAAATGTAGTGTGCACCATTTTAAGGAGGGTGATTCTTTTTTAACAGAAAAAATCTGATATTGCTAACAAATTAGGTGAAACGTTAACTAAACATTCCTCTTCATCCAATTATTCAACAACTTTTCAGAAATTTAAAAACAAGCAAGAAAAAAAGAAAAGAAAATTTAATTCAGATAATGGGGAGGATTATAATGAAACCTTTTCCATTCATGAGCTCCATACTGCCCTTGGGCAAGCTCATGACACTGCTTCAGGACCCGATAATATTCATTATCAGCTCCTTAATCATCTACCTGAATCATGTTTAGAAACATTATCTTTGACAGTATATGGACTTCTTGTAATTTTCCACCATCATGGTGCAATGCCATAATCATTCCTACTCCTAAACCTGGCCCGAATCATACGATCTAACTAATTACAGACCAATTTCTTTAATCAGCTGTGTTTGTAAGTCAGTGGAACGTACGGTTAATAATCGTCTAGTTTGGAACCTGGAAACCAACAACCTCACCACTGACATTCAATGTGGTTTCAGGAAAAGTCGTAGTGCCATCGATCATTTGATACGATTAGAGTCTTTCATCAAAAATTCCGTGGTAAATAAACATGTTGTATCGATTTCTTTCGATCTTGAAAAGGCATATGATACGACATGGAAGTATGGCATTTTGAAAGATCTCCATGATTTTAGTTTGAGCGGTTGTTTACCCCTTTTTATATAACAGTTTTTAGAAGACAGATAATTTCAAGTCCGAGTGGGTTCAACCCTGTCTGATTATTACAGTCAGGATCAGGCTGTCCCACATCGCAG